ATTTAAGGCTCTTCAACAGGCTTAAAGAAATCTGAACATAGTACTAACATAAATACATACCTTGGGAAGCATAAGAGGGGCACCATGCTATATAACCTGAACTAGCAGTGGATAAAAGCTTTTTGACTTGCAGATTATGGAGAGCAGTGGGCCAAAGCTGTTGGAAACAGCTGAAGAGATCCAAAAGAGGCGTCAGGAGGTGTTGGATCGTTACAAGAGGTTCAAGGAGCTTGTTGCTGAGAGGGGTCAGAAGCTTGAAGAGTCCTATTACTACCAGGTTTTCAGGCGGGATGCAGATGACTTGGAAAAGTGGATCTTGGAGAAACTCAAGACTTTAGAGGATAAAAGCTATGAAGAGCGAGCTAACATACAGGTCACTCAGTTCCATTGACTTCCTCAGAGCAGACACTAAGATCTCTAAGTGGGGGGAGGTGTTTGGTTCTGAACTGTATGTTAATATTAAAAAGTGAGTGTGTGTACAATAAGATTTCATTTAGAGAAACAAAAATAATCTAGTAGAATGGGAGGTTGAAGGAATTGAACTAAGAAAAAAAATCTAAAGGTGCATTTTTCTTTAGTAAATGGTGGGATAAGACTTTGGAGAAGTGGGACAAGAAAAAATCAAAGAAAAGAAGGAGATACTTTGTGGGTTGTTGAACTTATATTCAGAGTTTACGTTCTTATAAGTATAAGGGGGGCAATGTAATAGAAAGATTAGACTTAGCTGTTTATCTGTTAGGGGTAGTAATTCTGCCTCTGAATAGCTCCTATCTTCAACTTCTTAAGCTTCATGGTCGTATTTGAGAAGAAAAATGTCATTCTAGATAGTATTCAATGAATGTAATATTCATCTGAAGTTAAACTATGGGAAAAACACTCAATGTTAATAATTCAAAGAATTCATGGCACACCATGTGATTTCAATACTTGGTGGCATTAAGGATGTAATGAAGTGACATCAATACCTCTGAAGTATCAGCTCTCCCTTCCGTTCAGAAAAACATGTGCAACCAGGGCATCCATTTTTTTCTCAAGTGGCTACTCATGCCCTTGTTAGTCAAAATGGAAGCCCTCCACCCCTACCTGTTCAGCTAGTATTGTGGTATGTGGATGTGGCATAGTCAGATCAGAAGAAAGGGTTACATGCTTAAAAGGGACAGTTGATGTTGGAGAGGGAGCACCTGTAAAAAGAACAAAATGAGATCTATTAAATGGATTAATTTGTATATGATAACAAGGACAGAGCCTGACATGCAGTAACCTCTCAATTAAAAAAAAGTCATTATGATAATTATCATCATCCTTATTGTGCTCTACCTTCAATAGTAGTTATTCCTCTTTTGTAAAAAGAGAATTTGTTGCCATCAAGTCAATTCCAACTCATAGCGACCCTATAGGACAGAGTAGAACTGCCCCATACGGTTTCCAAGGAGCAACGGGTGGATTCCAACTGCCAACCTTTTGGTTAGCAGCTGAGCTCTTAACCCCTAGAGGAGAAGCACTACATGCTGCAATCTTTTATTCTCATTAATGCAATTGAGCCTTTAAAATAATAGGACATTTACCAAGAAGTCCCCCAAAATGGGGAATAGGAAAAGGTTTTTCTCTATTGTCTCTGACTTTGAGTCTAGGACCTTTCGAAAATCTCTATCTAAAGTGCTTATTTCTTTTAGTATGTTGACCGTTCTAGCTATGGTTTCAGGGCATCACTTAATCTAGGATGGAAAATGAATAGTTTTGTCTGGAAATAAGAGGAAGAAAAGGACATTTTTATAGTTCAGAGAGACTAGGCTCATTAACTGTAAACTCTTATTTCTGAATTGCAGGGAAAATACCAGAAACATGAATCCTTTCAAGCAGAAGTGCAGGCAAAATCAAAGGTCCTTCCTGAACTGGAAGAAATCAGGGAAAGCCGTTTTCCTGAGGGGCATTCTGCTCATAAGGACACAAAGGTAAGGTTGGGTTCTTAAGAAGAAGTTTCTAATTACTGATTATGTCATCAGACTTTTGGTTGATTGTTACACACATCAAACTTTATGTACCTGGCTGGGAACAAGGGCTCCTGCCTCTTGTCTTCTACTGGAATTGGGGCAGGAAAAATACAATAATTGAATTTCCTTATTCTCCTAGGGGTAGGGGGAAGATTTATGATACAAAAGCTATCATTGGATGGTATATTATTTTCCTAGAGTTGCTGTAATAAATTACCACAAACTGAGTGGATTAACTTAACAGAAATTTGTTCTTTCACTGTTCTGGAGACCATAAGTCTGAAAGTCTGGGCTGGGCTCCCCCCAGATCCTTAAGAGAAGAATCCTTCCTCGCCTCTTCCAGCTTCCAGGTGTTCCTTAGCTTGTGGCAGCGTAACTCTAATCTTTGCCTCTGTCTTCATATGGCTGTCTTCAATCTGTGTCTGTCTGTGTCTCTGCTCCTCTTCTTATGAGGACACCAAACATACTGGATTTGATCCCACCCGAGTGACCACACTTTAATGTGATTAAAAAATTGATTGCAAACCCTATTTCCAAATATGATCACATTCAGAAGTACTGAGGGTTTGGACTTCGATATCTTTTGGGAAAACAGAATTAAACTGTAACAGATGACATCACACTCCTCTTTATGCCACTGGAGGATATTTTGGCTCAAGATCAAGATACTCCTCCAACTCTATTTCACATTTCCCAGATGAACTGGTTTTCGCAATGTCCTTTCTAATTATTTCTTCTAATCTCAGGGTCCTTTTCCCTTACCCCTCACTTCACACGAGGAATTCTTTCTCATTTGGGTCTTCTGTGAAATTTTGCCCTCTTTGTCTACGATACCCCTTTCTCTTCATACCCTAAACCCTATAACTACCATTGTAGTTCTCCAAACCCTCTTTTGCTCTGATTTTTTTTATTACTATGTAAAACTGTATCTCTTATCCTTTCCAGAAAACAATTCGTGTTCAGTTTCTTCTGTGCCTTTGCAGGTGTTGCTTGCTGTGCTTGGAAGACCCTTTGCCCATCTTCTGCCTGTCAAAATTCTTTTTGTTCTTCAAGAACCCGTTCAAATGAGTACTCTTCCATGAATCCTTTCTCCTTCCTGTTCTATAGTTTGTAATCACTCCCTTCTCTAAAAGCACAAACCATTTTTTTTTTTATTTTTCTCTTATGGAAGATCATATTTGGCTTGGTTTAATAGCTATTTCCATATATATCCTATTTCTGCCTTAAAATATTTGTTAAGAAATTAATGCATGAGTTAATGAAGGAAGAATTTTTATCCAGGTCCCTCTCTGCCTAAGTCTATGAGTCTACCTATTCCAGTCTCTGTGCCTGAGTAGTTCTGCCTCCTCTCCCCAAAGGAACATCTGGAAGAACTGCGCCGCCTGTGGGAACTTCTCCTAGAGATGACCCAGGAGAAAGGCTTCCTGCTGTTGCAGGTCCTGAGCCTACAGCAGTACTTACAGAAGTGTGCTGACATCTTGGAGTGGATTGGAGACAAGGTATAGTACCAAACACCTGCATATAGGACTTCCCACTCATCTGTCCCAGGCACCTAATGCAACTTACTGCAGGTTATTGATAAAGAAGTCAGGGTCTATTTCTGAAGTTTGTTTCTTGGAAGGTTGGGATTTTGGCAAAGAATTATGGATGTTCTCAAGATTCTTAACTTCGTAGAGGATGAGTCTAAACTTATGAATCTGAATATGGAGAAGGAAAGACTTGCACAAAAACTGTGCATTGAAAGATGGTCTATCTCCCATAAACCTTGACTGCTTCCTATGGGTTTTTGCTCTTACTCTGGGGCCAGACTGAGATGATAGCCAGCTCTTTCCCTAATCCCTTGTCCCCTAGTGCCTATTATCTATAGAGGTTTCCAAAATTCTAAACACTTAAAGAATAATCTTATAGTTAGAACAGAAGATTTATACAAGGATGTTCTTAGCATAATGCTTTTGTAGACAACTCAGTATGTTAAATTGAGTAAAATCAGGATGAATTTATTTTTCATGTTCCAAAACAGAAAAAAGGTGCTTTCAGGGACTCTGGCCAACAATGTTCTTGGCCTTTCTGAAGGACTGCTGTACGTACACTGTCCCCTGGGTCAGGGTAATACACTCTTGGTTCTAGATCTTCCTGTAAGTGGCTCTCCCAGGGACCAATAGCATCTCCATCTAAGTTATTCTGGGAATGTGGGCAGGTGTCTTGGGCTTTTGACCTGTAAAAATCCCTAAATTCTTTCTGGTGACTCAATAGATTTTTCTATGTCTACAGGAGGCTATTGTAAAATCAAAGGAGCTGGGTGAGGACTGGGAGCGCACAGAGGTTCTACGTAAGAAGTTCGAAGAAGTTCAAGCTGACCTAGAAGTTCTGAAGAGCAGAGTGGATGAAGTGAACCAGTATGCCAATAAGTGTGCCGAGGTGAGGTGGAACTAACAGAGTAGTTCCAGAATAGGGTTCTGATCTTCAGGGAAAACCTCTGGCCAATAGTAGATGGGATTGGAGGAAGATAGGAAGTAGCAAGAAAACAGAAGGATGCACATTCCTAACTCCTACACTGTGTAATTCACAGATTAATCATGCTTATGCAGCAGTCTTTCTTCATGAAGAGGAACAAGAATAAAGTAGCAGAGAATATAAAATGATGTTAGGTTTTGGGATACATTATACAAGTTTTTTTTTTTTTTGCTGGAAGAGAGCAAAGGAGGCAGATTTACCTTCATTTAATTAAGAAAATATTTCTATAAGTTTGCAATCTTCTCTCTCTATATAGACATAAAATAAAAAAAAATCTTTAACGTGTGGTTTAAATTTATTGTGACTGTAGGTTTGTAGTGGGAATGATCTTTCTGTGTTATAGAACCAATATTTAGATAAATGGTTACTAAGCAAGGAAAATAACTCATGTCTCCCATTTTTTTCTATGCCATATTTCTAACAGAGTCTAAATTTTCCCCCTTTGCCACTTTTTCTTCGTTGAAAAAGTTTTTTAGTTTTCTATTCCTATCTAATAAGTCACCACAAAACTTAAATGATGAACATCTTATTTGTTCATCATTCAGTGAGTCAGTTATTGGAACTACTCAGTTGGGCGGTTCTCCTGGCCTCACCTGGTATTCTCCGGTAGCTGCAGCTACTTGGTGGCTCAGCTAGAGTGGAGGAGCTAACATGTCTGGGGCCTTGGAAAGGATGATGAAGCCTTTCTCCATGTGGTCTTTCATCATTCAGTAGACTGTGGTTCTTTCTATGTAAGTGTTTCAAGAGAGTACAAGCAAAAACTGAAATGTCTCTAGAGGTCTAGGTCCCAGGTCTCATAGAATGTCACTTCTATACCATGCTATTGGTTCAAGAAAGTCACAAAGCCATCCAAGATCCAAGAGGTGAAGAAAGAGACTCCATCTCTTGAAAGGAGGAGAGACAAAATAGCATGACCACAGGAAGTATGTACCAATACAGGTAGAGTAAATCCTCTGCTCTTTTGGAGTGGGGCCCATCCAACTACAATGGAAAGGACCACCCATTCATGAAAGGCAAATGTGGAATTTTTTGTCTGGAGTTTTGGGCATGACAGTGCAAAGAAATGGGAGCAGGAGAAGTAGGGAGACTTGGACATATGGGAACTCCTCAAAATTTCCAGTTATCCAAATTTGATGCTGAAAGTTTAGCCTAGGATTCTTGGATCCCATGACATCAGATAGTTTGCAAAAATGAAATTTTCTGCAAAAATGAAATTTTCTACAAAATTGTATGTATAAGCATATATTTATTATTCTGGAAAGAGGGAAATACCTTCGTTGGATTCTCAAAGGTATCAGGACCCCAAAGGTATTAAGAACCACAGTCCTAGAGTTTTGGAAAATCACATAGATTCCATAAAGAGAATTATTTCTTCATTTCCTTCATTTCCAGAATTTCCAAGGGATTTGGCAGTCATCAACAAAGTAGGGTTCTGAAAATAACCTTAGGCTTGGGCAATCTTTGTTATTAGGCTAGTCTAATGCTGTAGGCACAGGGTACAATATGTGGCAGTTGGTTTTCTAGGTTTTGGTAATGTGGATCAGGTCAGAGCTAGGGGGCAGGGGTAAAGTGAAGCTCCGTGGCTGGCTACCATGGTTATTTTCCACTTCTAACAAAGTATGGGCCAGTGTAAGCTAAGAAGTGATTAAATGCTTTTTGGTGTAATCTCCCTTCACCATAACTCCAGTATGGGTTTCTATCCACAGGAGAACCACCCTGAACTGCCTTTGATTAAGTTAAAGCAGGATGAGGTAAATACTGCCTGGAAGCTTCTCCACAGTCTGGCTCTCCAGAGACAGAAAACCTTATCCGATGCTACAGACTTCCAGCGATTTAAAAGGTATGGATTTGGCCACTGCATTTTGGAAAATTTTGAAATTGCAACACACTTGTTATTTTTGTTAGCTTCTGTCTACTACCCCTAGCAATTAGCAGCCAATAATCAAAACAAAGAGGATTGTGTGCTTGCCTTTGGGGCAGCAGAAAAGGGGTAATTAAGAAAACTGTGATTTTCACTATGGCCAAGCTTGTGGCGATTGAAACCCAAAGCAATAGAAGTAGTACCGGGAAATTAGTGATGGAAGCTCTACAGAGGCAAGGAAAGCAGATTGAGAACTGGAAGGGGGTAGAGGAAGAAAGTTGGGAATAAGAAATGCATTCATGAAGAGCTGACCCAGATATGGGTAGTATCTCTGGAGGCTCAACCATCAGGAGGCTCAGGTCTCTGATATCTCGTTGGAAACCACTACCACGCCAAGACCCTTTATATTACTTTTTGCTAATGAGTAGGAGGGCAATGTAATTGTTACGCTGGGTGCACTAGGGCAGTCCTTGCTGTGTACTTCTTTGCTCTGTTTTTCCTGGGATGCTGCCATTTTCTTTTGTGGTCATCTGGCAGGGATGTGAATGAAGCCATCCAGTGGATTGAGGAGAAAGAGCCTCTTCTCACCTCTGAGGACTATGGCAAAGACCTTGTTAGTGCTGAGGCATTGTTCCACAGTCACAAGGGACTTGAGAGGAACCTTGCAGTCATGGAAGACAAGGTAAGTCACTACTTGAGGAATGGTTGTCCCTTTGACCTAGAAGAGGCAAAGTGTGGTCATCTTGTTTACGCTATGTCTCCAGAGTGCACAATGAGTTCATTATTTGTAATATAAACCAAAAAACCAAACCCTTTGCTGTAAAGTTGATTCTGACTCAAGATGACCCTGTAGAACAGAGTAGAATTACCCCATAGGGTTTCCAAAGAGCACCTGGTGGGTGGATTTGAACTGCCAACCTTATGGTTAGCAAGCATAGCTTGCTGTAAGTCTTAACCACTGTACCACCAGGGCCCCATTTTAATATAGTGGTACTTAAAAATACCACATCATTCTATTCCATTACTTAAATTTATTTAATATTTTAATTTAAATTTACATATACGTTTTATTCTGATATAGCTTACAATTAAAAAGAAAAAAAGATGCTTCCAAGGATAGTTTCCTAATCTCACTCAGTAAAATATAATACTTCTATGGCCAGGGAATTTTTTTCTTTCATCTAACCACATTTTATTCTGTTGCAGGTTAATCCTGTTTCTTTTTGTTATTTACCAATTAGATAAAGGAGGCTTTTTCTTCTTCCCCTTTTATAATAAACTTTTAGATACTTAAAACACATTACTGAATGCACCTTTGAGTTCCCTCCTTAAAGTTGGAAAACCCCAGCTCCTTTATGTGGAGGATTAGGCATAGGCATGCTAGAGCTTGAAGCAAGCCAATATTCTTGAATGATTCATATCCTTACTTCTTCCTCTCAAAACTTTATCCATAACTTAAACCAGTTTCTACTGAGTGCCCACAGGAAAGCCATCCCACAGAAAGATCCATACTTGTTGTATGTTCATCATAGCTCTGTCTCTGTATCCAGTTTCTGAAAACTGTTCCGCCATTCTACTTCTTCTTTCATTCTTCCTCATTTTTGGTTTTTGGTCTTTTTTTCATAAAGAACAGGTAATGAAATCCCAAACCTTAGACAACACCTGATTATGGCTGAGTATAATGAGAGAACCTAATAGTAGCAGGTGAAAAGCCACTCATGTCCACATTTTTGTCCTAGAAACCCTGTTCCTCAAGAATTATACCCAGAATGGTCTAGCATTACTGAAATTTTCTTAGCCTGTTGTGAAAAAATGTTTTCCTGACTCATACAATAATATATAGGGAAATGGTACAGAGAAAAAACCAAACCTGTCACCGTCCAGTCGATCCCAACTCATAGCAACCCATAGGACAGATTACAACTGCCCCATAGGGTTTCCAAGGAGTGTCTGGTGAATCAAACTACCAACCTTTTGGTTAGCAGCCATAGCTCTTAACCACTATGCTACCAGGGTTTCCTGGTGATGCACTGGTTGAAAGTTGGCCTGCTAACTAAAAGGTCAGCAGTTCGAATCCACTAGGTGCTCCTTGGAAATCCTACGGGGCAGTTCTACTCTTTCGTATAGGGTCTCTATGAGTCGGAATCAACTCGGCAGCAGTGGGTTTGGTTTTTTGGTTTAGTAGAGAGGTGGTGAAGGACAGGCTTGGACTTTGCTTCTGACACTTACTAGTTGATCAAATAAATTACTTCTCAGTTTTCACATATGTAAAAGGAAATTAAGAATAGTATCTGCCTGTAGTATTATTAAATGAAGAGTATTAAATGACAGCATACATGTAATGCACTTAGCACAATGTTAGACAAAATATACTCAGTAAATTATTATTATTAATACAGAGCATTAGTATATTAATATAAAACATTGATATAAATGAATTATTATTTTTGTTACTGGTTTACTACATCACACACACACGTCTTTGCTAGAAGGAATAAGAGTGCTTGGATTTTGTATTAAGTTTCTTTTTCATCCCAAAGGTGAAGGAGTTATGTGCCAAAGCAGACAAGCTGGAGGTCTCCCATCCTTCGGATGCACCCGAGATCCAGCAGATGAAAAGGGATCTGGTCTCCAACTGGGAGCATATCCGTGCCGTGGCTACCAGCAGATATGCCAAGTTGCAGGCGTCTTATGGGTGGGAAATCCCTCTTTCCTATCACTTTACCTATCTCTACAGGACCCAGGTATAATATCAAAGGCAGAAATAAAAGACTGAAGGGAGTACAATAACCAGGGGCCCAGTCCTCCTGCCTGCTCAGTAGAGGCAAAAGAAGTTTGTATTCACCAAGGGAAGGCCTTTGCAGGCTGACATAATCCTTAGCATCACGCCTCCCCTCACCTCCACCCTTTCTGTCTTCCTTGTTTGTATAGTTGTAGGTTGCTATGAAGTAGATCATAAAGCTGGAAAAGGAGCTGAAGGAACATTTCAAAACTCTGTCCATAGCTTTGGAGTGAAAATAAAATCTCAAAGCTGAATAACATCAAAATAAATATAAAATTATTTCATGGATTTGAGTTAAAAACTTACCAAAACAAATGCTAAGTGGGCATCATTTCAGTTGTTAATTCATATGGTTAGTCTTTAAATCAACAGAAAGTAGTGTTCCTCTTACTGTTATGATTTAAAACTAAATGATGAGCATTTAATTTTGTTGAATAAGTAACTTTTTATTATCAATAATGGTTAAAGTTGAGCTGAGATATATGAGGTTCTCCTAACTAATTCTAGCCCCCTTCTCCTACAAGATACTTCCTGTTATTTACATGGCATGTGCTTATTTACTTGTGAGCACTCGACTCCATTTCATGTATCTTTGGAATTAAGAGTTTGGGGATGCATCATATAATTATTCTTTGTGTAGGAAAGAGAAAGAGGCAGATTTACCTTCATTTACTTAATAAAATAAGCTTGCAATCTCTGGCCAGACAAAGGCTAATCAAGGGATAGATGATATAGATAGATACAGATTATATAGATATAGATAGGTACGTAGACAGGGAGACAGGCAGATAGGTAGATAGGCAGATAGATAGATGATTGATAGATAGATAGATATAGATAGGCAGATAGATTAGGTAGATAGATAGACAAATCATAGGAATCCCTGAGTGGTGGGAACGGTTAACGTGATTGGCTGCTATCCAAAAGGCACATCCGAAGAAATGTCTGGTGATATTCTTCTGAAAAATCAGCCATTGAAAACCTTATGGAGCACAGTTCTGCTTTGATACACATGGGGTCACCGTGAGTCCGAGTTGACTCAACAGCAACTGGTTATACATAAAGTAAAGAAACTTCAGCAGTTGTTTCTATTGTGCTTTCCCATTTATGATTTAATTTCATTATGACTGCAGTTCTGTAATGGGAATGATCTCTAGGGTAAATGTGACTTTTTAGTGTTGTGGAGTGGATGTAATGGTCACATATACCATCACACAAGGACACACCTTCTCGACAAAAAACAAACCCATTGCCATCGAGTCAATTCCAACTCATAGCGACCCAGTAAGACAGAGTGGAACTGCCCATAGGGTTTTCAAGGAGTGGCTAGTGGATTTGAACTGCCGACCTTTTGGTTAGCAGCCTGAGCTCTTAACCACTGCACTACCAGGGCTCCGTACCATCTCTAGGGATGTACAAACTAGAGTCAAAGATTTACAATCTGTGCCACTAAGGCAACTTGGACTGTCAATAGCAGGAAGTACATCGGGGAATAGGAGGGGATTGGGTTAGGACTAGGAGTGACTGGCACAGCTTAACAGAACTCAACCCTAACTCTCTGCTCAAAATCCTTTCACATGTGATTTTTCCTTCCTGCCATTTTCTTACCATCCTCACAGGTACCAGAGGTTCTTATCAGACTACGATGAACTCTCAGGCTGGATGGAGGAGAAGACTGCCCTGATCAATGCTGACGAGCTGCCTGTAGATGTGGCTGGTGGGGAAGCCTTACTGGACAGGCACCAGCAGCATAAGGTACAGAGGGAAGATCTCCCCATTAAGAGGAAGAGGGTGGTAACCAAGTTTCTTGCTACATTTTGAGATGTTTTGTCCTGTGACCATAGCATGAGATTGACTCTTACGATGACCGATTTCAAAACGCTGATGAGACTGGTAAAGAACTTCTGGATGCCAATCACGAAGCCTCTGAGGAAGTTAAGGAAAAGGTAACCTAGTTTAACAGAGTTTGTGGGATTTCAATGACATAGTTATCCCTCACTTAATCCCATAATGGCATAGTAATCTTCAAATGGGAAAGGGATAGAAACCATCCAAACATGATAGTAATATGGCCCAGCTTTCACATGGCTCTCTTTCACATACGTTATACTTTAGCTAATTTGGATCACTTGTAATTCTCAGGCATGCTTTGTGCTTTTTCGCCTCTCTGCCTTTTTTTTTTTTTTAATCAACTCCCTGACTTTTACATAATTTGAAACCTCTATTTCACTTTAACATATGCCCTATCTTACCACTTCTCCATTCTCACCACAAATGGTACATTCCACAAGGACTGGTGCCTAACACAGTGCCAGGCACATAGTTGGCATTTGTACTTTTTTCTTCTCTCCTATATACCCTCAAATCAAACTGATTTTCTTCTATCTTGTTGTTCTCAAACTTACATTAAATAACTGGGAAGTTTTAAACACTCAGAATTCCCCACTGAATAAAGAAAGCAGGTCTTCCCTCATCCTACCTCCCAGATCACAGGGTCCCGCCTTAGCCCTCTGACCCAGAGAGATCATGCTGCAGTCACAGAGTCCTGGGCACTCTTTGGGATGATAATCAAAAAAGATTTGATTTACAGTCCTCTTTGAATCTTCCTAGATTTCAAGGACAGTCTTCAGCAATGTGTGATGGATGAGGTTGAGATAACCATGTTTAGGATTCCTCCAGAACTCTGTGGTAACATTATAATACGGATTTTTATTATTAACAATTTTCTGCAGAAGGAATAGGGGAATCTCTAAGTCTGTGATAACTTGATGTATTGTCTGGGAATTCTGAGAATCTGTGCTGCCTTTTTGATGAAGTTAACATGACAGCAGCTATAAGCTGGAATTTCTCGGACAAATGCTTGGGCAGCAACAAAGGTTTTTATGAGGTTAAGAATATTCAGTTTCCCTTTCCTTGAAGATTCTTATTTACTTTCAGTAAAGTGCAACTTCTCAGTCTGGCATTTTAAGTGCTCTATGAGCTGGAACTTCATCAAATGCACAGCCTTTTGGGACACTGCACTTTTCTCTGAAGCAGACTGTATAATCTAACAGTTACTTTGAGTTCCAATAATACCATTTGCTCAGGATATCACGTCTTCCTATAGACCGTATCCCCACCACTCTTAGAATATCTGTTTGGATGATCCTTCCCATACTTTCACTACCTGGTTCTTCCAATCAGAATTAATCTTTTCTTCATTCTTTATACATATTAAGAGCCTTATGCCTCTTTTATGGCATTTATCCCATTTTTTCCTATGCTACAGTTATTTGCTTAAATGTTACAGCCTTTAGGGGAAAAGTCAATTTCCTACTCATCTTTGTATCCTTCAAAAAGCCTTGCATTTATTAGACAGTTAAATATAGGATACATTGAATTAATTAAATATCTTTATTTTACACTCTCTCCTCCTTTCCAAAGATGACAGCACTTGACAACAACTGGACTGCCCTGCTGGAACTGTGGGAAAAGCGTCAGCATCAATATGAGCAGTGCTTGGATTTGCACCTGTTCTACCGAGACAGTGAGCAAGTAGACAGTTGGATGAGCAGACAAGAGGTAACAGGACAAGTCCAACAATCTCCATAAATCATTTCTCCCACCATTTAATACCAGTATGAGCACCATCACCGCTCTCATAAGTACTTCTCTGAATCAATGCTTGTTCTGAGAATTGGAGGATGATCCACGAGAAGAAGATCCTGCAATTTCCCCATGGACAAATGCATAGAGGAAATTCTTAAATACATAGCATAGAAACTATTATCACAATTTAACATAAAGCAAAATGAATGTCAAATTGCTAATGGGTCAGGAAGAGAAAACTGATGAGTCAGGCAAGGTTAATCAAGGAAGCATTTTTGGAGGAGTTGAGTGATCTTCTTGAGGGAGTTTTGACAGCTCAGAATAGAACCTGCATTGGCTGGGGGAATGCAAGGGGCGGAAGACCCAGAGACATAGGTGAGAAAGTTGAATGAGAGGAATGGGAAGGAGGTTTTAAGCTTTTGGTATTTGAGGTTTGTCTCTACCTATTACCCCCCATTGTGCTAACTCTCACCTTGTTCTCCAGCTCCTCACCTCTCTCCTTATACCTTGTCTCAGGGATATTCAAAGGGGACTATTTCTCACCATGGAGGCACACGTGTAATATATCCATCTCCCACAGGCCTTCCTGGATAATGAGGATCTGGGAAACTCCCTGGGAAGTGTACAGGCTCTTCTTCAGAAGCATGATGACTTTGAGGAAGCTTTCACTGCTCAGGAAGAGAAGATTACAGTAAGAAATCAGTCCTGGCTTGGGTATTGGGATCCATGTTTGTATAATCATCTCATACAACACTTGTCCTTAGATAAAGCCACCCTTTAACCACCGAGGAGTCCCTGAGTGATGCAAACAGTCAACATGCTCTACTGCTAACTGAAAAGTTGGTGGTCCAAGTCCACCTAGAGGCACCTCAGATAAAAGACCTGGCAATTTTCTGAAAAATCAGCCATGAAAAAACTAAACAGCACAGTTGTACTCTGACACACTTGGGGTGACTATGAACTAGAATGGACTCAGTGGCAATTGGTTTTGTTTTGTTTTGTTTTATAACTACCAGATATCACATGAGGATGATTCTAAAAAGAGATAACATAGAGAAAAATAAGTTCATATCTATTCTCAACAACACACTTCTGGTTCTATAAAGCATATTTAGAAAGCTTTTCAGGATGTCAGGCCCTTTTTTTTTTTTGTAGTGCATGACTCTGTCTTGTTTTTTCCTTCAGTGTAAATAGAAACTAATGGATCCACATTCAATACAGAGTCATCACTTAAGAGTTTGAAATATATTATTTAGATTTTTTTTAGTTTTTTATTCTCTAGTAATATCTTCCATCCACCATTCGTCTGTCAGTTTATCATACTGTGGTGACTTGCATGGGCAAATCTACTGCAAAAGACCACTTTAAAGTGTTAAAAAGCAAAGATGTCACTTTGAGGACTAAGTCGTGCCTGTCCCAAGCCATGGTATTTTTAATTGCCTCATATGCATGTGAAAGCTGGACAGCGAATAAGCAAGACCGAAGAATTGATGCCTTGAATTATGGTGTTGGCAAAGAATATTCAATATACCATAGACTGCCAGAAGAATGAACAAATCTGTCTTGGAAGAAGTATATGTACATCTCA